CCCAAATTTCACTACTTCAAGTTTATGCATAAATTAACACCCAGACTGGTTGCCTGTACTATTGTTGTAACACTGTTCAACCAAAAACAATGCCCCCCCCCCCCGACAGCGTTTTAAAGATAAACACATTGTCAATCATTTGTGAAAATTTCAAAACAAAAGGTCAAAGTGTCTAGGAGCTATTTTTCTTTAAAGTTCTGGGATGTGCACTAAAAAGAAGCTGAGATAATTGCTAATTTGCATAACAATTCACTCAGTAAGAAGTTTGCTAATGCTCATAATTAAAATGGCTGTAACAGTTCCAAATTTAAATGTATTATTGTTTTGTTAAAAGTTAAATATAGTGCATAATATGGAGATCCCGTCATTTCTTTTTTTCACCATGTTTCTTTTTTATTATTTATATACAGCCTTGCTAAATCTTGCTAAGCATTCAAAAGAGAGAATGTTTGCACCTGTTACAAAAATGTATCTATATTTTAAAATCGTCTTTTGAGTATGTTCCACTATTCACAATTGTACAAAATTTTAACAGTCTATAGCCAAGACTGTTCGGATAATAAAAAGCAAAAAAAAAAAATTCCACTCCCAAGTGCCCACAAACCTGCATCTCTACCTTAAGAAACTATTGTTTGTATGTGCGGAATATGTCTTTATACCAATAGCAAATTCATTATGATTCATGTTTGTTGAAAATACACAAATATTTTGTAATTTGATGGAAAAAGATTAAAATATTTGTCTATTTGTCAATTTGACTAAGTGGCACTTTGATGGCTAAGTGACAACCATATCGATAACTTTAGCTAAAGCCATCAATTTCTCAGTATTTTCAAGATACTTTTGACATGTCAAACCTTAACACTCTAATACTTTGATTAAAAATTAATTCATCTCATATCTTTCCTAAAATAAATTTTTAATTAAAATGTTAAAGAATTGTATTTATTGTCATAATTGTAATTTGGAATATCTAAACTTTCTATCACTCTTCCTGAAAAATGAGATGATATTATTACTCGCTAATTACTACCAAATCACAAAAAAATTACAATAAAACTGCCATTTTAGTTGTAACAAGCCATTGAGAATGTCACAGCCCCTCTGTTCTTGTAGTTTAATATATGATGAATGAAATATCAGTATTTATATGCTTCATTTTGATCAAGAGCATTGGTCTAAACATGTCTGAGAAAAAAAATCAGATAAAATAAATTCTAAAACTATGAAACAAAATGGCCGCCAGTCAGCCACTGCAAAATGCGAAATAAAACAGGATGTACATCATCAGGCATCCAACATATACAAGCCAGTAGGCCGATTGGCGATCCACTTTGCTCAAAATACAAACAACATTTTTTCGGTTGTTGCCATCGTAGGACCTGAACGTGCACCTGACGTGGGTTTATAGCTAAAACAGGGCCCCAAATACAAGTTTTGCAAAGAGCATTAAGCAGCTTCCTAAGTCACTATATTAATAGTACGTCTTTAGCTGTTATTGTTTTTATATTCATGCAAGTTGACCCTTTAACATGGATTTCGGTATGATGACAAACTTTTTATTTCCGATCTTTTTGTGATTGCATTTGCTAGATTATTTGAATTCAAAGTTGCGTTGGAATGTTCCGTTGGTGCTGGTGGTCTCTTGTTGGTGCGCAAATTAACCAATATAAACAGCTACTATATAAAAACACTCCTTTTACAAGACTGGTAGGAGGTGATACATTTAGCGAAAGTATTCAAAAAATAATTTTTTTGACTGTTGCCATGGCAACAGTGGGCCAGCAATGAATAATATACTGGGATATCAAAAAAAAAAAAAATGTAATTTTGTGCCCACAATTAAAATGTGTGGATGACTTCTAGAATTATTTTATTGTAGAAGGAGATACATTTGAATTGGTTGGCCATTGGAAGTCATGACAAAATTACCGACATTTTTTAATAAGTACATTAAACATGCAGTCAGTTTGTGGATTCTTATATAGCAAATATGGTATACATATTTGACAAAATAATGTAAAGTTTGTAAATAAACCCTCAGAAAAAATTTTATTATTGAGTTGGATTGCAATTTCTATGTAAAACTAACCGATAATTGTGCAATCTAATACTTATTCTATTTTTCCTAATTAATATTCTCTAATCAATTATTATGGACATTTTCTTCGATATGCTCAATATTTAAGCCTTAAATCCGCCCACCATTTTTGTTATTTCAATAAGAGGAAAACTTAATTACTACATAACATCTTAATTCAATCTTTTTCCAGCTAATTCTTTTCTTTTTGTCGTAAAACATACAAATATCAGTCTATGGGGTGGGTGTTTTTTTCACAAACTTGTGATTGTGATTTTGTTGAAACCATAAGCCTTGTCTACACAAACCATTTCTTTTAAGTTTTATTATATCTATAGGATTAATTATATATCTTACTTTAATAGTGAGAGGAATATTAAATTAAATAAACAAGAGAATGACATTTGCACGATTTAAGATTTAACACATCATATTATTAGTGTGTTGATGATACTTACATGACCTCACAGAGGTCAGATTGTATACAATGTATCTTATACATGTATCGTATTACAAGTGTACCTACTGTAAAATCTGTATTACAAGCCACACTCATTCTTTTTGAGCAATTGAGAACTAAACATTCACAATTTCTCAGTGTGGATGCTCTAATAAAAACTGCATCCCCTCTGTTGCATTGTATCATTTTAATAAAAGTTGCAAATTCTATACAGATGTTGCAGTCCCAATGAAAAAGATTCAGTTCTTCAGTTTAACATTCGGATGGTGAATGCACTTATTTTCCAATCATGTACTATAAACTATAAGGAAACCACAGAGTCATACCTAGAATTTGATCTTAAAGACTGTATTATGAAAAC